CACTTTCCTGCTGTATCAATCGCTAACGGAACTAAGCCGTAGTTAGTATCTAAATTAGCACATTGATGCTTACGTTTTATTGCAACCTCGACTTTAGCACCTCCTTCACAGATCGAACAGTTTATCTAGAAGAACCCGTAACGCAGGTTCTTGGATATTAGTTTTGAATAAATATTTCATCATCATCATCCCATTACAGCCCTTCACAAGTCCACTGCTGAACATAGGCCTCCCCCAAGGTATGCCGATAAGCACGGTCCTGAGCCATCTGTATCCATCGAATTTCTGCATGACTGTAAGTCGTCATTCCATCTAGTGAGAGGGACGCTCCATACCCGTCAAATAAATAATTGTGAGTCTATAAATATCAAGTAGACAACGTCGTGGCAACGAGACGCACGTCATCCATGTTTAAAAGATCTACGATGAATGAATACAGACGAATATGTAAACGCGTCGTACTCGTCCACGAACTCGTCTCCGAATACCTCGGCGAGTTACACGTGCCCTTAACATAAACGTGCCATAATGAATAGTGGATGAAATTCGTTTTATTTCACCTTCTTTACGATCTTAAGTGTTTTGTTTTTCTTAAGAGCCAGACACGCTGACACATTTGACGTCGAGAGTAGTTTGTTTATGTACGTGATTAATTAAAATAAGGTACTTCACACGTTTCACTGCAGGCTGCGAGCCTCCTCTCAAGAAAGAGAGTGCGAGAAAATGGGTCATTTTACACAACAGTTTCCTTGTGTTTATCAATACAAATAAATAAAATTGAAGTATCCGTTTGTAATGTCAAAAAAGAGCTTTTTACTAAATGCATTTGTAAGTATAAACGGTACTTATAACAACAAAAAAAATTAATTTTTTTTTCTCTCTATTTGTCTGTTTGTTCCGGCCAATCTGTGAAATGGATAAGCCGATTCAGACGAGATTTTCACTAGCAGATAGCTGATGTTCTAAGTAGTAACTTAGGCTTCTCTTTTACTTTTGATTTGGAATAAGATTAAGGGTTCCGCGCAAAATAATTAAAACCAATGAAATCCAATCGTCCACGTAGGCGAAGTCGCAGGGAACAGCTAGTTTTTGTAAAATTTCCAATACGTTCAAATATTTTTTATTAGACATTAAAATTAAAAATGTTTTAAAAATGAAATATATAAATAACTGGAATGGATTATATTCTTCCTTAATGTTTATTTATTCAACTATTGCTTTTTAAAAACATAGGTGCTATATTGTAAAAAACATATATTTTAATGCATTTTACCTTTATTAAAATTACTAAGAATATATAAATATATTTACGTGTGGAAACGATGCAATAAATCTAGTACCTACTTTGTTTCTTAGTATCGTAAGAGACGAGTTCTGGAAAGGCCAGAAAAGCTTCTAATAGAAGACAGTTCATCCACGCCGTTCATTTCAGACGTAAACACCAAGAAATAGAGTAAATGGGGCCCTACACTCTATTGTGAAGAGTCAGAATGTGTCAAAAAGCCACGTATGGCAATTCACAATGCTGTGTTGGTCCCTACTTTAACGTATGGTAGTGAAAGTTGGGTGTGGCAGAAGAACCACGTGAGTAGAATAAACGCAGTATAAATGCGGTCGTTAAGGAGTATAGACTAAATCTGAGTGACAGGGTGAGAAATTGTGTGATAAGAGAAGAGTGGGGTTTGTAAGATGATGTTATGACCAGCATTAAGAAAGGAAGGGAATGCTTCGGTGGTTTGGTCATGTGGAAAGAATGAATGAGGAAAGAATGACAAAGCAAATTTATGTTACAAAAGTGAACGACAAAGTCGGGAAGGGACGTCCTAAGCGAAAGTTTATCGACCAAATTGGCGATATATTGAAAATGGGCCACATTTATCACATTCAAAATCGCCATCACTGTACAACTTCTTTGCATTAAAATATATTGAGGCGCTTTATTGTTAATGCCTTAATAGAGTTCCTTAAAATTTTTAAATATCTTTAAATATATGTATTATACAAATTTATTATGTTTTCATTACTGAGTTATGAAAAGAGTCATTTGTGTCATATTTTAAAGTCATAACTATACTTTAATGAAACGTATTTGTAGTCGCTTTGACACCGACAATCAAGTAAAGGAAGCGAGTTACAAAATAAACCTTTTGAATAATCGTACTTTACTGACGTTAAAATAACAATGTATGCGATTGCTTAATGGCACAATTCCATATTCGATTTAAAAAAAGATAATGTCTTTTAAAAAGAAAAGTTAAATATTTACTGTCCTATTCACAAAGAGACGTCAAATTTTCGAAATTATTAATTTTGTTATTATAGTTGCTTTTTCTGTCTTCGTTAAATGACAATAGAAAGATATAAATATAGAATTAATTAATACTAATGTGAGTGCTAGTTAACGATTATCGGCCTAACTTATAATCGTTATTTATCGCAAAATTAAATTAAGTAATAATTATCTCTAAATTAGTCTCTTTATAATATTTAAATGAAATGGAAAGAGACAACTTGTTATTTCATTTAGTGAACAGAGAGGGAGAGAGAATGAGAGAGAGAGAGAGAGAGCGAGCAACTTTAGGCATTAGGTACTTAAATTAAAATAGGTTTTTAATGAGTAAGGTCCTCAATGTGAAGCCGTTATTGTCTACATATGTATTAACTATGAGGTTATGTTTTAAAGACGCAACTGTCTTGTTGATCATAAGCACTTAGAATCTTGGGTCAAAAACTTTTATTAGCAACAAAAGTCAGAAAGTTAGCTTTGTTTTACCTCCTCGAGAAGCACGTAAAGGTGTTATGCACGTGATCTCTCTTCGGTCATGTCTTAATCCTCCTCCATGTTCATGTCTTCCTTTGGTCATATCCTATCGTTTCATCGAACAATAAGAGTGTGGAAATAAAGAGTATATGTGTGCGCTCTATAATCCTGTCCTGAGTAGACGACCACTGGCTAGTCTTCACTGAAACTGGCCGCCGTGATTGCGAAATTCGGTTTCGAGAAATGGCGTTGCTCGAATTGCATGTTATTATAATTCATCATCATATAGAAAAACAAAAATAAAACAGTATTATTAAATCTTATTAATATTTTTGAGCATAATAAAACTATAACGTTGTTCATTTCTTATAACAAAACTAAGCTTTTTTTTTTGTTGAATAGGGTGACAAACGAGCACACAGTCCACCTGATGGTAAGTGGTTGCTGTGGCCCATAGACATCTATATCTATCTTCCATTAAAAATCAAAATGCAGATGCGTTGTCACCCGTGAGGACTGAGATGGAATGCCTCGTTTCCAGTAAAAAGGTATTATAAATAATAAATGGCTAGAACTACTTTAATGATAAAAATGTCTAGTTATTTCAAATATCAATTATATTATGAAATGTTAACCTTTCCCTATTACTTCCTGCTAAGAAAATAGAAAATTTTCAAAAATAGGGAAGTTATTGGTTTCATCCCGATTTTCGAAAATCGAGTTTTCATCAGATCTCGAAGTTTTGAGATCTTCTGACTTATTTCACGTGGACGTACGTACGGATCTGTGTGTGTGTGTGCGTGTACGTGTGCGTGCGCGTGTACGTGCGTGCGCGCGCGCGCGCGCGTGTGTGTGTGTGTGTGTGTGTGTGTGTGTGTGTGTGTGTGTGTGTGTGTGTGTGTATTTGTGTGTGTGTGTGTGTGTGTGTGTGTGTGTGTGTGTGTGTGTAGGTGTGTGTATTTGTGTGTGTGTGTGTGTGTGTGTGTGTGTGTGTGTGTGTGTGTGAGTGTGTGCGTGCGTGTGCGTGCGTTGTGCGTGCGTGTGTGTGTGCGCGTGCATGTGCGTGTGTGCGTGTGCGTGTGCGTGTGCGTGTGCGTGTGCGTGTGTGTGCGTGCGTGTGTGCGCATGCGCGTGCGCGTGCGCGGCGTTATAAAGATCTCAATGTGGAATCGATTTGGTGATAATATGAACTGATTCGAACAAGTAGATTTTGAGGTATCTCAAAACTAAAAATTTTGAGAAACTGTTTTTTTGGAATAACTTTTAAACGGCTTCACCGATCGATTCCAAAAACTAATTATCTCTCTCAGATAGTGATATATGCACGTTTACGCTAAATGTAAATAACCAGACCGGAGACGGACAGCAGCCTCAAAAGTGCGAAACGTCCGACACTGCGGTGGTCTCGCTTGCCAAGCGAGGCAAACCCTCCTTACGCCCTCGTAGAGGCCCATTATTAAAAGTGGAATATTACGGTCTGCTGATGATAGTGAAATTGTTTTTTTTTAAAGAGCACCTCATTGATCATTTATTCATTTATTATTCCTATCAAAGTCAACATATTACATAGGTAATCTTTGGGGGATTCGTAGTTTTTTAAATTATTTTAAGTGATTATCAGAGAGACGATGGATCCCCTGTTTCATCTCCCTAGTTCACTTTATACGTCTCAACTCTTTAAAGTAAAACATTGTCGTACATTCTTTAATTATATTTTTTTGAAACTATATTATATATTTAACGTGGTAGAGAAACGCTTCAGCTATGGTTGTAGTTCGAATGGGTCCACGCTCTCACAGAATACTAGCGTAAAATAGCAGCCTAGTGCTGTGAGTGTAGAGAACCGGAGACCCTTTTTACTGGAAACGAGAAATTCCATCTTAGTCCTTACGGGTGACAACGCATTTTGAATTTTAAAAGAGGATAAATGTAGATATCTATGGGCCACAGCATTTACTTACCATCAGGTGGACCGTGTGCTCGTTTGTCACCCTCATTATATAAAAAAAGAACTATACCCACACACATACCACACACTATACCAAATATAAATTGCACAAGGGTAAACATCTAGTCTCTGAAAAATATTTTTAGGCCATAAAAATATTTGTTCCATGCGGGGTTCAAACTCGTGGCCTTCAGAGCTGCAACCACAATTTAGCAATGTAAGCCACTGCACCACGAAGCCGTCGTACATTTCTACTTATTGGCAGAATTAAATATGTGGGTACCCATCCAGATGGACTTTCTAAGAATAAAATTACTACAGCTAGGTAAATATTTATTGTAAACTATTCTCATTACAAAATTTAACGCAACATAAATGTTTTTACAGATATATGTTATTATAATAATCTCTAATTTTTAACAAATATAAATTTTTACCATAATCTCAACATACTTTGCAGAGCACTTATGAACACAATTTTAATTGCAAAACATATACATAATACATAAACACTCACGCCTGTCACCCAGAGGGGTAGGCAGAGACCACAGACTTTCATTTGGCACGATCCTGACACACCTCTCTCGCCTCCTTCACATCCATACACCTACGCATACATGCTCGTCGGTTAAGGGTACTCCTAATTTGGCCCGTTTTCAATAAATCGCCAATTTGGTCGATAAATTTTCGCCTAGGACGTCCCTTTTCGACTCTGCCATTCACTTCTGCAACATAAATTTTCTTTGTCACTCCTTCCTCATTCATTCTTTCCACATGACCAAACCACCGAAGCATTCCTTTCTTAATCCTGGTCACAACATCATCTTGCAAACCACACTCTTCTCTTATTACACAATTTCTTACCCTGTCATTCAGATTCAGTCCTAATATACTCCTTAACGACCGTATTTCTATAGCGTTCATTCTACTCTCGTGCTTCTTCTGCCACACCCAACTTCCACTACCATACGTTAAAGTAGAGGACCAACACAGCATTGTGAATTGCCATTCGTGCCTTTTTCGACAAATTTTGACTCTTCACAATAGAGTGTAGGGCCCCATTTATTCTATTTCCTGCATTAACTCGTCGTTCTATATCCTTATCACATCTCAATAATTGAAAAACCTGAAAGAAAAATAGAATAAGTTATATTCAAAACATGATCCGAAAGTATATATTCGAAACAGCATTACATTATGAACTACTTTAAAATAGTTATGCAAATTTATTGTACTCATAGCCTTTGTTTCCTAAGAAGGACATCTTAAATCCCTTCTAACATTCAATAAGTATTTTAAAGTAGTGAATCAATCCAAATAACTTCCTCACATTTGTAAAATGAACAGGAAGAGATTTATTAGCCATTGTTCTAGTTACAAATAATTTTGTAAACAATGGATCGATATGAATGAATCCCTATCTTATATTTACCCAATGAAATCAGTTGAAAACAAACACAATTTAACGTAATGTTGGTAAATAACCTCGAACAAGAATAAAGTAAATGGGTTAGATCGCTATAAGTATGAATTCGTGATAAATGTGCAATTAATAATAATTTCTAGGCTTGTACTTGATTTGTCTACTACGCAAAAATCACGACTAACTAAACTTTTTAGGTTAATATTTTTGATACTTTCATTTTTGGCACCTTAGCTTTATCTTTCATAATCATAACACATATAATTTTATATCATCATGCATTATATTACTTTATTACATTAAATCAGTCAATTATATCCTCCAACATTCCCTAATTGGTGCAATGAATCTTCCACTCTTCCTTTCCCGAAATTAAGAAGGGAGAATCAGATAAAAATGACATCGATTTTCATTCTATTTTTCCTTACTTTCCTTTTTTTACCTTAAAAATATTTTCGCGCAGTCATTTTTATCTGTCTTCTCCTTTCTCCGCAGGACCGCAAGAACTGGCGAGACAAAACCAAATCACCAAGCAAATTCTAGAAGCGTACATTCAGAAGAAGTTGGGCTTAGCCAAAAGTGCTAATCTCCGACCACCTTCCGTTTTGGAAATATTGCCGGTTAAGAAAAAAGAAGAAAGACTAACGAGGCAGTTGATATACCGAGAAGAAGAAAAAGACGAAGCGCCGCCAGAGGTGGAAGAGATGGAAGACGAAGAAGACGAAGAGACAGAAGAAGAGCCAGCACCAGTGGAAGACGAGAAATTGCAGAGCGTCGAGAGTGAACATATAGATTCCGTTTATCCCAAAGGCATGTAAACAAATAATTAGTTACAGTTACATAATTTAATAATTTGAATTTCGTTTTTAGTCCATTTAACTTCTGTCTCTCTCTTCTTCTTTTATTATATCTTTAAGGGCTATCTTCTTTAGTATTTCATAACTATTTCAGAACTTTTAAAGGATTAAAATTTATTTAACATGTAGTATGTAAAATGTCGGCCGAGTGAGTTTACAGTTATATTACCTTACTAAGTACGCTGCGGTAGGTTTGTATCTGAGCGGAAACGAATATTTTTGAAAAATGCCATTGAAGTATTTCATATTAAAAACAAAAAATTTGATCAGACTAAAATAGACTTTCTTATCGTCAATAACAAACAGTTAATCCTAAAAACTCTTTAAGTTACAGTACGACTAAGAAATATCTAAATGCAAAATTAAAGTTTTGAATTTAGTAAGCTCTCTTGAAGGCGACTGTCGAGAGAAATAAAATAAATAATATACAAGTTTTTATTATTTTTGTGTAGATAAAACATATCTGCATTTTTTTATAAAACTGATGTAACTAACGTATTGACAGTCTACCAGAGGTCGCTCTCATCCATAAAAACCTGCAGCCAGTTTAATACTAAGAAAACTACAGATGCGTTATCACTCCTGAGGGCTAAGATGAAACATCTCACAGAATGTAATTATACTGGCTCTCTATACCCTCCAAACTGAAACACAGCAATACAAAGCAATGTTATTTGGCGGCACAGATAGGCAAAAGGGTGAGGCAAAAAAGGAATTCTACTGTTTAGAAAAAAATGCATTTAAACTGCCTGTTTAACTTAACTTTCGTTTTGTTTTAGTATTTTTTTTTTGTTATAGGATAAGGGTGACAAGCGAGCACACAGTCCACCCGATGGCAAGCGGCTGGTGTGGCGTATACACATCTACATCTACCCTCGTTCTCTTCAAAATGAAGATGCGTTGTCAGCCGTTAGGACTACAATAGAATGCCCCTTTTCCAGTAAAAACGTCTCCGTTTCTTTACACTCAGACGAAACACAGCATGAAGCTACTATTATACACTGGTATTTTGTTAGAGCGTGGTCTTTCCCCGGTCGAGCCGACCCGTCCGTGCTAAAACATCAAAAAAGGAACACACACAGTACACCTGATGGTAAGTGGATGCTGTGGCCTATAGACATTTACATTTATTTTCGATAAAAAATCAGATGCGTTGTTGCAGATGCGTTGTCACCCGTGAGAACTGAAATAGAATGCCACGTTTTCAGTTAAAAGGTTCTCTAGTTGTCTACACTCATCATACGAAACAAAACAGCATTAAGCTGCTATTTTACGCTGGTATTCTGTGAGAGCGTGGTCCTTCCCCGGTCGAGCTGACCATTTCGTGCTACAATTATACAATAGATTCAGCATGGCTCTACCACGTTTATAATCATATTGCGGTAGCGTTGTCACGTGCTACAATGACATAAATACGAATCTAACAATGACCGGAGCTTAAAATTTTGCTAGCGAAGTTTTCTATAATTTACTTAGCTAGTTAATTAGATGGTTAAGCCGTCAATTGAACTTCGACGTTCAACTTTACGCCTAGTATTTTAATCGATTTACAAAAAAAAAATAGTCAGCCCATTTGATACGGCTGAATATAAAACGACTAAATTTTATACAATTTCGGTTTTAATAGTTATTATCCAATATGTAACATCGTTTAATTAACGCCTTAGCCTTTTAATTACCTAATTGAATAAATTATCGAAAACTTCGCTAGCAAAATTTTAGGCTGCGTTATTTGTTAGGTAGCAGACCTAATTTTAATTGTTTATTTAAATGTTTCCTTGTAAAAAATATTAACAAACAAAAAACATAACAATTATAGGCACTATTTTGTACTAATCTTGTGAACACTTAGCAATATAATAATTTAATTTAACCAGATGGATAAACATTGCGTAGACTTCTTGCTAAACTTTACTTACTAAGTGATTTGGCTAAGCTTACTTTAGACATGTTTGCCTCTTCCACCAATGGTTAAACTTGTACTATGTATGCCTAACGTGACTAGACGTCCCGTTTTGAACGGGACTGTCCCTTTTTTATAGTTACGAGTCCCGGTGTCCCCGAAATGAACGCAAAATTGTCCCGTTTTCTGAAACCGTGCGAAAATTCGTATTGTTGTTACTAAAAAACTTTTTGAAGATCCCACATCCGAATTATGGCTTTATTTTTTATACGCTCAGTCAGCAAGTTTCCATCAAGCTGTATTGAAACTTGAAATTCAGACTGTATTGGCTATTGAAGATGCAAAAAAATCAATCAACTAAAAGACAATTTGACTCAGAAACGGACCAATCTGTTTCTTCCATTTACGGTCCGTCAATTAAAAGTGAAATCGAAAGATATTGTTACTGATATAGATGAAAAATTGGTGAAAAGGGCGGCTACAGAATTTCATGAAACAAGCCGTGAATATCTGAAGTGTGCATGGGAAGACGTTCAAAAATCTCTGAATGTATTAATTGAAAGGGAATATATTGACTGTAGTAAAGATGTAGAAGTTTTCGACGAACTATTTCAGTTCTAGCATAGTGATAATTTAGGTGAATATAAAAAAAAGTGCCAAGAGTTTCATTCTTACTTAATATCACCATCAGCTATATTAAAGCAAATTTGGTCCTGTGAGGAATATAAATATAACTAAACGTTTTGGATATATACAACACGTAACAAAAACCCTGTGGTTCCCGTTAGGTGTGTTATCAAAATCAGTAAAGCGTCCATGCGTATAGAAATATTTTTTTTTCAAAAAAAACATTTAATTTTTTTACTTTAATGAAAAAAAAATTTGCAAATTGTATGTTTTATTTCCTCTTACTCACACGAGTATCGGTAATGCGGGGTCTTTGACAATCCTCTAACTCCTCGGCCAATGCAGAGATAATAAAACCACAAACATTTTGCAAATTTTTTTTTCATTAAAATTAATTTTTTCAAATGTGTTTTTTGTTGAAAGAAATTATTTCTATGTGCTTGGTTGCTGCCTCTGATAATGCAGTTAACGGGAACCACAGAGTTTTTGTTACATGTTGTATATGTAGGTATATAATATATATATATATATATATTATAAAAAAAAAAAAAAAATAATATATATATATATATTGACCTAAATAAACCAATGTCGAGTCAAAAAATAAATGGTCACGTTATGTATGCCCTATAAGGTTAAAATACTATTGATTGACATATCTTCAAATCAACAATTCTTTTCTTGTTGTTATCAGAAATAAAAAAGCTAAGGTTTCCAATCCTTCTGCTCAGCGTAGCAACTATGGCAAATATTCTCATTATGAAACAATATAAAGGTAAAGATTTCAGCTGTGAAATTTCATGGGTTTTAATGAATGATGATGAATGAGAAACTAAATATTTGAAATTATTAATTTACATTAACAATTACCCTTCTCAACTGCAACTGTATTAAAACCTTTTTGAAGCAATGAAAGGCTATTGAAGAATAAAGCTAACAATTTTATTTAAGTACTACTATATGTTCTCAAATACATTGTTTGGAATAATGATTTCAAATAGTCTGACACAATATATTTATTTAGATATACTGACTTTTTTAATCATTGTAAAACCAAACTTTCACAATGTGTACATTACTGCTAATTTAGTAATCAACAAACTGACCTGTTCTTTTGACGATATGCAATTGATTTGCCAAAGGAATTATTTCAAAATTGTCAACACCGACTGAAAGTCCAAATAACAGCACATTTATATAAAATTTAGATCCAAAACTAAAAATTAGTTTCATAAAACAAACGTTATGACCCAATAGCGCTTAATTTCATTTATTATATCTATTCTAATTATGCTGATAATGATTCAAAATATGTTATTGATATTAGGTACCGCAATAGGCATCTTACGCATTTGCATTACCCTAATCTAATCAACATATTGCGTAAGCTTGACAGTGGCAAATACACGAAGCGCAAACGTTCTATGTTGGTTTAAATACTTTAAAACAAACACCATAACGATGTGTGGATTGAAGTCTTGCAAGAGCTTGTTGCCAAAAACTCTTGTTGCCAATATTTACTAACCGACATACTCTTTAAATAGTGCTATACGGTTACTCTTACAAATTTACTTATTAATAAGAACCCCAGGTTTTGTTAAAATATAAACAACGGTTAATTAATTCAAAGCTGTGAAGTAATTTTTTTTAATACAAATCCATATTAAGTTACGAATATATTAATAAATTATGAGAAATTCATAAAATTTAAAATAAGGACGATGAAGGAATTTTTAATCCGAGAAACGAATTGACTTTTATCATTAACCAATGGCAATTTTTGACTTTCAAGTCGGAATTTGCAATACTTAGTTCGATGTTTAAAAGCCTACGAGTATTTTCCGATAGTATTTTTTTCAAGGGAAATTTGTGTGTATATATTTGGTATCCCATACCTCAATGTTCTATGTTTTACTTAATGATGACGTCATATTATGTAAATCTTATTAACTGGATTCAAGCTGTGTAATAGAACTAAAAATATTTATCCTTACCTAAACCTTAAAAAGTCCACTGCTGAACATAGGCCTCACCCAAAAAATGCCACAATACATGGTCCTGAGCTACCTCCATTCATAGACTTCCTGCATGTCTTTAAGGGTCGTTATTCGATCTAGTAGGGGGCCGTCCCACACTTCGCCAACCGGTACGAGGCTGCCTCTCAAGAACCTTTACTTCCTCATCGGTTGTCGGATCTTCCAGTTATATGGCTGGCTGATTGCCACTTCACTCACATTCGTAGTTCATAGATTACATAGTCATAATAATATATTATATTATTAGATTTTGTATAATTTATTGTAATACAGTCAACCGGAGTTTAACTCTGAAAACTTGCTAAAAATTCATCAGTGTTCAATAAGAAAGTGGAACAATTTATTTTTGAAAATCTGTACCATCGTTACACTCTTTGATGTTATGCGGGATCATA